GGCGGATCCTTGAGTTCTTCACGGAAGAGGGCGCTGGGACTTCCTAGCAAGTGGGGACTCTTCGGTCCCGATAAAGTGCCTGGGGCTCCAGACTCCTGACTCCGGAGGACCGAAGTGCCTGGCGTTTCTGCCTCTGGCTATTAGCCAGGAGAGTCCAGCCGAGGCCTGGACTCCCAGGTCCCCAGTGAGTGGGTCTGGATCTGCGCTCTCAACTACCTCCCCCCCCCCCGCCCGCCCCCTCTCCAGATGTTTGAGCCCAAGAGCTGCACCTACACGTATCTGCTGGGGGACAGAGAGTCCCGAGAGGCCATTCTGATCGACCCGGTTCTGGAGACTGCGCCTCGGGATGCTCAGCTGGTCAAGGAGCTGGGGCTGCGGCTGCTGTACGCTGGTCAGTCTGGGTAGGACTCCTGGTGGGGGAGGCGGATATGAGGGCTGGGAATCCTGCGTGCCCTCCCTGCACCTGGTGCCCTCCCGGACCTGGCCTCCTCTCTCTCCCAGTGAACACCCACTGCCACGCCGACCACATTACAGGCTCGGGGCTGCTCCGGTCCCTCCTCCCTGGCTGCCAGTCTGTCATCTCCCGCCTCAGTGGGGCCCAGGCGGACATACACATAGAGGATGGACAGTCCATCCACTTCGGGCGCTTTGTGAGTCGGGTGTTGGGTCTTCCAGAGGGTGGTGGCCTGGACTTGGGCTCAAGGGATGAAGAGTCTTGGGGGCCTGGGTTCCTCAGTCCTGGGGTGGGAGGGGCCTCAGGCTTGGGTTCCTGATCCCTGAGCTTTTGGTCTCTAGGAAAAAGATGCTATTAACCCAGGTGGGGAACTGGGGCAAGAGGCTCTGGGGAGGTGTGTTGCTGGCCGAGCCCCTTAAGTAAACAGCACTTACTCAGCTTCCTACAGTTTGGGGGCAGCTCCTTTGGCCTGGCATCTCCATAAAAGTTGATTGGGGACTGGAATGCCAAGACCTGGGCTGAGGGAGAGACCTGTCTTCTGAGAGCCACTGTTGGAGGAAGTAGCATTCTTGTTGCCCAGGGTCAGGATGGGGGTAGGCCCTGAGGCACCCAGGGTGCAGCATTTAAGGAGGAGCTGACTCTCCAGGCCAGCACCTTCCGTGACCTCGCCTCCTTAAATGTTGCTACTTAAGCTACTGTCTTGCTTCACTCTGGCCCCGCCCTGCTGTTGCCCCACACTGGAAAGGTCTGAAGGTTCCTACCTGCCTTTCCGTTCTTTTGCCACAAGCCTAACCAGCTGGTTTCTGGCCAGGATTTCAACCCAGGGCAGTGCAGAGGGGTGGGAAGGATGCTGGGGTGCCCTCAGAGAGAGAGAGAGAGAGCTGGCAGGGCTTTTTTCTGATCAGTGTTGCTAAAGGGGTAGTGAGTCCCCTGACATCAGGGACATGATGTCAGGTGGCAGGGTTTCCCTAAATGGAGATAGTTTGAGCCACAACATTTAGCTGAAATGAGGGCTGTGTGGGGTCCTCACATGTTTGAATGGAACTCAACTTCCATTGTTTGAACATACCACATTGGATTTATCTGTTCATTAGTCGACAGACATTCGAGTTGTCTCCATTGTGTGGCTATTTGGGATAATGCTGCCCCGTGAATGTTCATGTTCGAGTTTTTGTGTGGACGCCTGTTTTCATTTTCCTTGGGTACATACCTCGGATGGAATTGCTGGATCGTATGGTGACTCTACAGTTAGCAGTTTGAGGAAAGGCCAGACTGCTGTCCGAAGTGGCTGCATCATTTTTTGTTCTCACCAGCAGGGGGTGAGGGCTCCAGTTCCTCCACATCCTTGCCAACACTGGTAACCATCTGTCATTATGAATATTCACCATTTTGTTTGGTTTTTACCTGAGTACTTTATAAACCATTGGAGACAGGCACATTTTTTCCTCTCCCTTATTTTCTTCCCTACACTTTTTACAACTGAATTGTCACGTACATATAATATGGTACAAAGTGCACATATTGTATATATGCAGCTTGATAAATTTTTACACGTTTACACTTGAGTAGCTACACCCAGATTCAGATAAAGAACATGCCCAGCACCTAGAAGGCTTCCTTGTCCCTCTTTCTGACCATTGATACCCTGCCGAGGAATCATCATTCTTCTGTCTTTTCTAAAATATTTTAAAAATTTTTTTAGAGAGAGGGAAAGGGAAGGAGAAAGGGAGGGGGAGAAACATCAATGTGTGAGAGATACATTGATGGGTTTCCTCTTGCAGGCACCCAGCTGGGCAACCTGGCCTGCAACCCAGGCATGTGCCCTGGCTGGGAATCGAAACAGCGACCTTTTGGTTCACAGGCCAACATGCAGTCCACTGAGCCACACCAGCCAGGGCTCTTCTGTCTTAATCTTAGATTAGTTCTGCCTGTTCTGTGTGTTATAACCAGAAATCATACAGTGTGTACTCTTTTGTGCCTGGCCTTTTTCACTGTACACAATGTTAGATATGGTTGTCATTCTTTCCTTTTGTTGCTATATAGCAGGGATTGACAAACTTTTTCTGTAAAGGACAAGATAGGAAATAACCTTTAAAAAAATTTTGCCTGGCTGGTGTAGCTCAGTGGATTGAGCACAGGCCTGTGAACCACTCGATCGTGGTTCAATTCCCAGTCAGGGCACATGCCTGGGTTGCAAGCCAGTTCCCAGCAGGGGCCAGTTCCCAGCATGGGATGCACCAGAAGCAACCATACATTGATATTTCTCTCCTTCTCTCCTTCCCTTCCCTTCTAAAGATAAATAAATAAAATTTATTACTTTTTTTTTTTTTTTTTTTTTTTTATTGCCCTGGCTGGTGTTGCTCAGTGGATTCAGTCCCAGCTTGTAAACCAAAGGATCTGGGATTTGATTCTCATTCAGGACAAATGCCTGGATTGCCACCAGGTCTCCAGTAGGGGGCGCATGAGAGGCAACTACACATTGGTGTTACTCTCCCTCTCTTCCTCCCTTTCCCTCTCTCTAAAAATAAATAAAATCTTTAGCCCTGGCTGGTGTAGCTCAGTGGATTGAGCATGGGCCAGCAAACCAAAGGGTCGCTGGTTCGATTACCAGTAAGAGCACATGCCTGGGTTGTGGGCCAGGTCCCCAGTAGGGGTTGTGCGAGAGGCAGCCACATATTGATGTTTCTCTCCCTCTCTTCAGAAAGAAGGGCTTTTTTCTGATCAGTGTTGCTAAAGGGGTAGTGAGTCCCCTGACATCAGGGACATGATGTTGGGTGGCAGGGTTTCCCTAAATGGAGATAGTTTGAGCCACAACATTTAGCTGAAATGAGGGCTGTGTGGGGTCCTCACATGTTTGAATGGAACTCAACTTCCATTGTTTGAACACACCACATTGGATTTATCTGTTCATTAGTCGACAGACATTCTTCTTTCTGAAGAGAGGGAGAGAAACATCGACTGGTTGCCCTTCTCACATGCCCCAAACCCCTGACAGGGATGGGGCAGCAACCCAGACATGTGCCCTGACCAGGAATTGAGCTTGGGATTTTTCACTTTGTGGGATGACTGACACCCAATCCAACACACGGGTCAGGGTGTTAGTAAGATTTGCAGGTCATATGGTCTCTGTTATAACTACTCAATTCTCCTATTGTTGTGAAAGCAGCCAGAGAGGATGCATAAATGAATAAGCATGGCTGTGTTCCAATACAACTTTATTTGTGGCCGCTGGAATGTACATTTCAGTAATTTTCATGTGTCATGAAATAATCGTTCTTACTTTGATTTCTTTTTCAACCACGAAAAACTGTAACAAGCATTCTTAGCTTTCAGGCCTTACAAAGGCAGGCGGCAGGTCCAATGTAATATACCAGCCATAGCTTACCAACCCCAATGTAGAGAGCATTTCATTCAGTGAATTTATCACAATCCATTTGTCTTTTGCTGGCTGATTCCAGCTTGGGGCTATTATGAATGGCACTGCTATGAGGATTCTTGTACAGATCTCTTCGTTGAGATTACCCTCAATTCCAGGGAGGGGACTTGCTGGGTCACAGAACTGACACCTGTTTAACTGAAATAGAAACTGCCTGACAATTTTTAAAATTTTACACTCATACATTCTACACTCACAGTAGGCCAAATTTGGATGGTTTCACTGTGGCATGAGTTTTCTGTTTTAATAAGCCACCATGGAGACTTGAATGTTTTATCACCCGTGAGGAGATTTAGGAAGTTAGTCTTTCCTGTTAAATGTGTTGATTGTTACGCATGTTCCTCGAAGACCCTCTTCTTTCCCCCATTATCCTCCTCCCTGTTCACCCCTCCCCTCTGGTTACTGTCAGTTTGCTCTTTATTTCGAGAAGCGTGCTTCTCAAGACTCCAAGTTCCCGGGTCCCATTTTTTTTAAAATATTTTATTTATTTATCTTTAGAGGGGAAGGGAAGGAGAGAGGGAGAGAAACATCAATGTATGGTTGCCTTTTGTGCGTCCCCTGCTGGGAACTGGCCTGCAGGGAACTGGTCTGCAACTCAGGCATGTGTCCTGACTGGGAATCGAACCGCGATTGTCTGGTTCGCCGGGTTCCATTTTTGAGATTCTGATTTAATCGATCATCATATGCCCTACAAAAGTATTTCTGTTCTTCCTCCTGTTTCAAATTGAAATATTTCAGTTGTGGAACAAGCCTTTTATCCTCCGATATTTTTTATTTATTTTATTTTTAATTTGTAAAGATTTTACTATTTTTAGAGAGAGGGGAAGGGAAAGAGGGAGAGAAACAGTAAAGTGTGGTTGACTTTCAGTCGCCCCCTACTGGGGACCTGGGCTGCAACCCAGGCACGTGCCCTAACTGATAATGGGACCAACGACCCCTTGGTTCGAAGGCCCGTGTTCAATCCACTGAGCTACATCAGCCAGTGCACCCCAATATTTTTATTTTAATTTCAAGCATACAGACAAGTTGAAAAAATTTCACAGCATGTATCTTGTATATCCACCCATCACTTCATCTTATTTTGTTTCCACAAAAGAAAGAAGGTTTAGCTGATGGAGGTTCAATGTATTTTTGCTACAGTGGAAAATTATATTTTGGGTTTTTGAGTACAGAGGGAATAGAAAAATGCATGGTAATACCAAGATTAAATACTTTTGAATAATAGAGCAAAAAAATACACTTGGGAAAAGAAAGGTAAAGAAACCGGGAATTTACGTGCCACCAGGGGGCAGTGTGGGCCGCGGAAACTGCAAGGTGAAAGCGATTCGGGCCTGCACTGATCCCTTTAGTCTGGGGTTTAGTCGATGCAGGTAGTTTCAGAAGTCAGATCATTAGGGTAATAATTTCTTTTCCGACATTTGCTTCTCTTAATTGAGTGTGGGGATTTAATTAAGGATGAGCTTCCTGGGCCGCAATGTTTGTGTCTGGGTTTTGTGGGGTGTTTGGTTTTGTTTTGTTTTTTTAGAGAGAGGAGAGAGAAGCATTAGTCAGGCTCTCTCACACACCGCGACCAGGGACTCAGCCGAAACCCAGGCATACACCCCGACAGGTGACCCTTCCCTTTGCTGGACGTTGCCCAACCACAGGAGCCACACCCGTCAGGGCATGTCCAGGATTCTTAATGGCAGTCTTAGAAGTGGCTTTGGAAATCAGAAAGTGAACGTTTGAGGTGACAGACCCTGCTCAATTGCCCTGTAATGTGGCTGTATGAGTCGTATCCACATCCCAGGAAAGGTAAGGCCTTTCCTCAAACACCCTGAGTGACTGGCAGTTGCCAGTCTGGTGCGCGGATAATAAAGGTTTTTAAATTTAACTCTCACTGTTCCCTCCTTCCTTTTAAGGGAGGTCGAAAGTCTTTTCAGATGGTTTTTTTTTTTTTGCCATTTGTTTTCTCTTCCATGAAATACCTGTTTGGTTTTTTGTTTTTGTTTTTTAAAATATTTTTAGACAGAGGGGAAGAGAGGGAGAGAAACATCAACATGTGGTTGCCTCTCACGCACCCCCTACAGGGGACCTGGCCTGAAACCCAGGCCTGTGCCCTGACTGGGAATCGAACCAGTGACCCTTTGGTTCACAGCTTGATGCTCAATCCACTGAGCCACACCAGCTAGGGAGGAGTTGTTTATACATTATGGCTGTTCACACTTTATAATAGTTATTTACTCATGCTGCTAATTAATACTGCCTCTGAGGTTTTATTCTGTCTTTTAACTCTGGTTTTGTACTTTTTGATAATGAAGTTAAACTATGTGCCCACAGCTGTCACTGTTTTTCCTTATAGCCTCTGAATTTTCTATCATTCTTAGAAAAAGCTTTTCTACCTCAAGGTTTTAATCATTTTATTTTATTATTGAATAAATAATTGACAGAGAGAGAGACAGAAACATTGATTTGTTGTTCACTTATTTATGATTCTTGTATATGCCTTGATAAGGATTAAACCCACAACCTCGGTGTATCAGGATGCTGCTCTGACCAACCGAGCTACCTGGCCATGGCCCTTTTCTACCTCAAGATATAGTTCCTCCTATATTTATATCTAGAATTTTAATGCTTTTTATGTTTAGATCTATAGTGTATCCTGAATTTTGTGTTTTATTTCTAGTTATAAAGTTACATGTTCGTTGTATTTAAAAAAAAAAGATGATATAGGAAAAGTTTAAAGAATAAAATATATATTTTGCCCTGCCTGGTGTGGCTCAGTGGATTGAGCACCAGCTTGTGAACCAGAGGGTTGCCCATTCAACTCCCAGTCAGGGCACATGCTTTGGTTTCGGGCCAGGTCCCCAGAAAGGGGCAGGTGAGAGGCAACCACACATTGATGTTTCTCTCTCCCTCCCTTTCCCTCTCTCTAAAAATAAATAGAATATTTTTTTAATAAAAATAAATAAAAAAGAACAGAATATGTATTTAAAGTTAATGAATACATTTTATAAAAGGTGACACTGTAAAGGTGGCTTTGTAACTTGCTTTTCTGCACTTGATTTTAAACATATTTTTGTGTCCTTAAATATTTGTATATATCATCGTTAAATTTCAAAGACTGGTTAGTATTTTATAGTTGTATTAGTGTGCTTATGTTTTTCTTATTGATTTGCAGGATCCGTTTGCTCAGGAAGTATGCTGTGTACCACCATGTGGTACATACCCCATTTTTCGGACTATAAGACGCCCACCCCACCCCCAATTTGGGAGGAATAATGGTTGTTAGTGCTGCTCTTGAGTTCTGTTTACATTTACATTGGTGAAATATGATGTTACTTATGTTGTTAAATATTTTACCACATTTTTTGCTTCAAAATTTTTTTTCCTATTTTCCTGCTCTGAAACCTAGGTGTGTCTTATGGTCTGAAAAATACTGTATATTATAAATATATGGGATCCTCAGCTTGCTTGTTCCCTTTAAGTTTAATTTGTGATGTTTTTGTCATTGCAAAACTTCAGGTTGACTTAAAGTCAAACCATCAGTCACTTCCTTAATGACTTACGACATTAGGGATCACATTTGAATGTGGTTCCCTCACCAGAGGTTGTATATTAATTTGTACTTCTGTTGCTGCCACAGTGATATGATTTTATGGTCTTGCCTTTATTTCACTTGGAGTTTAGGTCAGTGTGAGGTCTGGGCCTGGAAATCTAACTTAGTTTTTTACAAAATAGGTTATCTGTTAATAGATGTGACCCTGGAATAGTTTCACCAGGAGGGCAGGGCCATCAGCTTCCTGCTGACCACCTGTACTTTCCCTCCCTGCCAGGCCTTGGAGACCCGGGCCAGCCCCGGCCACACCCCGGGCTGCGTCACCTTCGTCCTGAGCGATCACAGCATGGCCTTCACCGGAGATGCCCTGCTCATCCGAGGGTGTGGGCGAACGGACTTCCAGCAAGGTCACAGGCCCTGCCCTGCAGCCTGAGCCCTTAGTATAGTTATGAGTGTGCCAGGGTTTTAAGTCTCAGCTGCAAGAATGACTGAATGAGTGTTAAGCATTTAGGGGGTCAGGACTGACCTCAAGGCATTTAGCTGTGGAGTGGGGGTGGAGTTAGATTCAGAGGGTAGCTGATCAGGGAACAGTTAGATTGAGGGGTTTAGTTGTTAGGGGACAGTTAGGTACAGGGGTGAATTCATTATGTATTGCTGTGAAAGAAATTACCCCAGAACTGAGTGGCTTAAAACACTGATTAACATTTATTATCTCACATGGTTTCTGAGAGCTGGGACTCTGGGAGCGGGTTAGCTGGGTGGTGGATTTGGCCAGGGTCTCTCATGAGGTTGCAGTCAAGCTGTGCGGCTGGGCTGCACTCATCTGAAGGCTTGCCTGGGGCTGGAGGCTCCGCCTCCACAGAGGCTCCGCCTCCACAGAGGCTCCGCCTCCACAGAGGCTCCGCCTCCACAGAGGCTCCGCCTCCACAGAGGCTCCGCCTCCACAGAGGCTCCGCCACATGGCTGGCAGGCTGGCCCTGGCTGCAGGCAGGAGGCCTGGGTTCCTCCTTTCATGGGGCTATTAAAGGGCCATCACAACCTGGCAGCTGGATTCTCCCAAAGGGAGTGAGCAGAGAGAGAGCGAGAGACAGGGGCCCTAATTTTTTAAAAGAAGACTTTATTTACTTTTAGAGAGAGGGGAAGGGAGGGAGAGAGAGAGGGAGAGAAACATCAATATGTGAGAGATACATCCATCTAGTTGCCTCTCGCATGCCCCCAACCGGGGACCTGGCCCACATCCCAGGCATGTGCCCTGACTAGGAATCCAACAGGTGACCCTCTGGTTTTCAGGCTGATGCTCAATCCATTGATCCACACCAACCTGGGCCCTAATTTTTCTTAATGACCTAATTTCCTTAGTTAAACGGTCATTTCTGCAATATCTTATTTATTAGATACAAATCCCTTAATCCAGACCACCGTGTCAAAGAGTTTGTGGCCAGGTTTTAAAACTGCGTGAGAGGTTTGGCTGCTGGAGGTGTTGTGGGGATGGGGCTGGTGGAGTTCAGTTCTGGACGGCACCAGCCGCTGCTAGCTCTCGCTGCTAGCAAGTTGTCCGAGTCAGTGGTTTGATCGCTAGGGGGTCTGTGTTACGTTCCAGGTTTAGCTGCCCAGGGCACTGAGATTCAGGGATTTCTCTGTGAGAGGGGAGTTGCAGAGTCTCAGGGTTTGGCTGTTATTTGAGTGAGACAGAGAATGTAGGGTGGACAGTAGGTTGGGGGGATTTAGCTGTCTCGCGAGAGGAGGGCGAGACTGGATGAGAGGAGCAGACAGCCACGCTGACCTGGCGGTGGGTAACCAGATCCCCTGGGCGCCTCTTGCTTCCTCTTCTCTCTCTCCTTATCTCTCCGTCTCCTCCTCTGTCCTTTACTCTCTGAGGCCCCTATGCTCCCCCTTACGCACTCCCAAAGCAGTCATGCAGTGGAGGGGTTCAGGACTCAGGGCTTCCTGTTAGAGCCGTGGCGCCATTCCTTCAGTATCTTGCCTTCTAGTCCACCGCCCCTGCCCAGACCCTTTCTTGGCATCTGCAAAGCGAGGGCCAGCTCCTCAGCGCTTCAGTGTCTCATCTCAACCTTGTTTCCAGCTATGCCGAGTGTTTCACCGCTCCCTGTTCTCTGTATGTGCCGTTCCACCTGCCTAGAATACCCTTTCCTCTCCTTCTCTACCTAGATAAAGGGGTGCTGGCAGGAAATGAGGGAGAGGGTTTAGCTACCTGCACCCTGTTCTTGGGGGAAGGGGTTAAGGGGCCTCTCTTGTCCTCTTGATCCACTGACCTCTGAGCTTTGCCTCCCCAGGCTGTGCTAAGACCTTGTACCACTCGGTCCACGAAAAGATCTTCACACTCCCAGGAGACTGTCTGATCTACCCTGCTCATGATTACCATGGTGAGGGCTTCCTGGAGGAGGTGTGGGACCTGCATAATTTACTACTATTTGACAGGGAGCACCAAAGTACTGTAATCCTTGTGGGGCGTGGGACTACAATTCCCAGAAATTCCGCTGGCCCAAATGATGGAGTGCTTATGTGTGCTGAGTGTGAATGTGGAAACCATGACTCTGGAATTCCAGAAGGCCTGGGTTTTCCTAGCACCTCTTAATAGAGCTTAGGGAACTGAGAAACTAGGTTTCCCATATTGCCTGTTGAGGAGGGAAAGCAATTTCAGGAACATTCCGAGAAAAGCCTAGTAGCCCCGGGGCCAGAGAGGCACCCCAAAGCCTTCTGGGAAATGTAGTCCTGAGAGGTCCAAGGCACTGAACAAGTGGACAGTCCTCTCCCTCCCTTGCCCATTAGGGCTCACGGTGTCCACTGTGGAGGAGGAGCGGACTTTGAACCCTCGGCTCACCCTCAGCTGTGAGGAGTTCATCAAGGTCATGGACAACCTGAACTTGCCCAAGCCTGAGCAGATAGGTATTTGGGGGCTTGGACTCCTGGTCTGAGGGTGCAGGGGATGGGGGCCTGGAATCCTGGTGTGTGGGGTGGGGGTGCGGTCCTGGACTCCTGGGTCTGGGTTCAGGGACAGAACTCCTTTCCTAAAGAAAAGGGCTCTTAGGATTTCTGGGTGCCATTTAAGCCTGCTGGGGCCCCTTAGCTTCCGTCCTGGTTTCTTCTTTCAGACGTTGCTGTTCCAGCTAACTTGCGTTGTGGGGTTCAGACCCCACCTTCCTGACTTCATCTCCGTCACATGCTCATGTCCATTAAAAATGCAGTAGCTGGGGAGAGGGGAGGGGTGCCGTCACTGGAGTCTCTCTCCTCTTCCCCTCCCTCAGCAGTCTTCAAGCCTCTCGAATAAAGTTTTTTTGTTGTTGTTCTGAATCTGACTTCTGTCTGTTTTCTGGGGGAACCCGTTGGGCTTTTGGGCCGAGGTACCTGGGGTTCGTTCTGGTGTCCGGAGAGGCCAGACAGCAGGACAGAGTGAAGGTCCAGAGAGCCCAGAGGAGGAGATATTCTAACTCACAAGAGCAGCAGCAAACAGGTGTCTGGGGCAGGGCTTCTTGGCTCCATGGATTAGAACGTCATGTTGAGTTCGAGCGATTTCCCCCTGGGAGACCCAGGATAAGGTAATTCTGTTCTCCAGGCCTCTTCTGTAAAGTGAACATAGTAATGTGTTCTGATGATCCAGTGAGTTCATATGTGTAAGGTGCTTGGCACACTACCTGCCTGGCAGGCTTCCTATCAGTGTTAACCACTATTTTTAAAAAAATTTTTTTCTTTTTTTAAATTTAAAAAAAAATTATTTATTTATTTGTAGAAGGGAAGGGAAGGAGAGAGGGAGAGAAATATCAGTGTATGGTTGCCTCTTGTGCATCCCCTGCTGGGAACTGGCCTGCAACCCAGGCATGTGCCCTGATGGGGAATCAAACCACGATCTTTTGGTTTGCAGGCCCGTGCTCAATCTGCTGAGCTACTTTTTTTTTTTTTTTAAAGCAAGATTAAGGCCCTGGCTGGTGTGGATCAGTGGGTTGAGCATCAGCCTGCAAACCAGAGGGTTGCCTGTTCCATTCCCAGGCAGGGCACGTGCCTGGGTTTCGGGCCAGGCCCCCAGTGGGGGGCACTTGAGAGGCACCCACACACTGATGTTTCTCTCCCTCTCTCCCTTCCCCTCTCTAAAAATAAATAAATAAAATCTTAAGGGAAGATTAAATTTTTTTTTAAACTGAGAAAGTGAGATGTTAGCATTGTCAGGGATATAGGAGCCATAATGAGATGATAACATCTGTAATTCAAGCACTCATTTAAGATGCCCAGGAAATATGATACATGAGGTGGACACAGACTGACCCCTGTGTTGGGAGTGACAAGCGGTAGAGGGTTCCTCGGCCATGGAGAGGTGATCATCCCTGATAAACTATGGGTGAAAAGAAGAGGATTTTTTACCATTTGAAACTGAGCTGCTGAATCAGGTTTTCAGTAGAAGCGATAGAACTCTTTCACACACAGTGGATGACAGCAGCCGTGTCAGTGATCAGTGTCTACTCCAGGCATGTTCACTGATGTGTCCCAGACTTCCAGGGCCCCAAGGATAGCCACGCCCTAAGCCTCCACAACCACAGCATCTACCACCATGGCCGCCATCTACCACAGCAGTTTCCATATTAGCTGCAGCACAGCCTCGGGAGGTGAGGATGAGCGTCGACTATTATTGTCACTATCAATTGGAACGATCTTCCAGGCATTTCCTGGCTTGGAGTGACAGTCAGCAAAATGGTTTAAAAGCACACTTTCCAGAGAACACATCTGGTGCTGACTTTAACAACATGTATAGACTTTGGGCACACTTGTCCCCTCCCTCCCGGTCTCAGTGTCCCCAACTAGGAAGTGGAGATAGACATCTGTTGTTACGCTGCTAGGAGTATAGAATTAAATGAACGTGTATCAACTTCTAGCACAGCTCCTGACATCCAATAGTACTTTCTCACACCAGTTATTTTCCTGTTTTTACCCAGAGAGGAAAGGGTCTGGCTGACACTTTTAATTTCTTTGGTTCACCCCATAGCAAAGTGGGGGGGGGGGCACACTTCTCTGTCTCTGAGCAGGTTTTTGACTCAGCTCAGGGCACCTCGTCCCCTTGTCCAGCTCCCCAAACCGGTCCGGGCTCTTGTAAAGGACTCATTACAGGGGAGAGGCCCCTATCTGCATTCCCTTCTTTCTTTCAGCATTCCCAGGGTCTGGCATTAGGGAGGCGTTGCACATATGAGACCAAGACACCTGGCCCTCCAAGAGACAGCAATGGGGGTGCCAGCAACAGAGCTGGGTGGTGGTCGGAGGGGGGTCGCGATGCTGGGTTTTCGGAGAGTGGGACCGGTGGGGCCGGGATGCCCGGATGCCACGGTCGCGGGCGGGGCAAGCAGGTCGCTGCCTCCTCCCTCTGGAGCTGTTGGACCTGTTGTGCCCCCCCTCCACTTCCGGGCTGCTGTGGAGGGGGTGCAGAGCAGCCTCTCTCCTCCCTCTTCCCCAGCCACCTGTTTCACAGGCTGAAACGACAGCGCCCTGAGTGCAGAGCGAGCGCGCCGAATCCTGAGCGGGTGAGAGGCCCGGGGCTGCGGAGCAGAAGGGGGCTGGAGGCTTGGCCTCCAAGGTCTGCGCGGGTGGAGGAGGCTAGAGTTTGCGAATGGAGCTCCTTGGAGGAGCTCAGGACTCAAGACTCCTGGTTTGTCTGGAGAGAGGGAGACTAGGAGCCCGGACTCCTGGGTCCCTGGGTGAGGTGGCATGGGTGTCCCTCCTTTGGGGTCGGAGCCAAGTCTACCAGGCTCCGGGGTGCAGGGGATAGGAGCCCGGACTTTTAGGTCCCCGAGGGAGAAGGAGACCCCGGGGTCGCTGTAAGGTGGTCCAGGGATTGTGTGGGGGGGGGCTGCTGGGGTGGGGTAACAAGGTGCCACATCTGGATAGAAGGGAGAAGCCCATAGGGGGTGGGCTAGGATCCAGGACTCAAAATCCGGCCCCACCTCCGGGGGCGGGGCAAGAGCCGAGGAATCCCGACCCTGAAAACTCCAGGCCACGCTGCGGGAGTGCTCAGTCCCTTTCTTTGAATTCTTAGGCCCCGCCCCCTTGGAAGAGTCGTGCGGAGCGCTCGGGCCTCCCCGGCCACGCCCCACGCTGCCAGGCCACGCCCCCAGACTCCTGGCCCCCGCCCACCCCGCCGTAGCGAGCCACCGCCATGGGGACTCCCAGCAGCCCGGACGAGGGGACTCCGCCGCCACAGGTCCCAGAGTGCGATGAGGCGGTTCAGCCCGAAGAAGCCGCCCAGCCCCGGGAGCACCCCGAGGGCTCCCGCGAGCAGGAGGCTCCCGAGGTCCCGGCGGAGCTTTCTAGCGGCGGAGGAGCTGAGCAGCAGGCGGAGGAAGAGGAAGAAGTGGCCGAAGGCAGCAGCACCGAGAGCAGCCGCGACGCGGTGAGGGGCGGGGAGGGCAGGAGCCCCGGGGTCGGGGGCGACCCAGAGCAGGTGACAGGGACAGCGAGAGACAGGTATGGAGAGAGACCAGATAGACCTAAATTCGGAGACCAGGAGAGAGCCCCAGAGATATGGCAACTCCTGAGAGACAAAGACATCGACCCGGGGCCAGACAGACCCAGCCCGAGTGAAAGACAGAGACGTCCAGAGACCGGCATGGAGAGACCGGATGGACAGAGACTCAGAGACGGGCAGACTGAGAGACAGAGACCGAAAAGAGCCCCGGCCGCTGTGGCTCAGCTGGCTGGGCCTTTGTCCAGTGACCCCAAAGGTCGCAGATTCAATTCCCCGTTAGGGCACATGCCCGGGTTGCAGGTTCGGTCCCCAGTGGGGCACGAGCGAGAGGCAGCCTATTTATGGTTCTTTCTCACACTGATATTTCTCTATGTCTCTCCCTTCCCTCTCTCTAAGCATGCCCTCGGATGAGGATGAAATAAATAAAATTAAGAGAAAAGACCCCAAAGAGACAGAGACACAGGAAGAGACTCAGAGAGACGGAATAGAGACAGAGAAACCTTAAGAGAGGGAGATATTCCGAGGAAGAGGAGGGGAAGTAGTAGCAACGTAGAGACAGAAGACAAACACTAGTGGGAGAGATTCGAGAGACCTGGGGGGAGAGAGAGATCCGGGGCCTACGAGGACTCGTAGGGGCCCAGAAAATAGGACCTGGTTAGAGAAAAAGGAACACCCTCCCTTGAGTTGGCTCCTGAAACTGCGAGCCCCTGGGGCCTGGTGGTCACTGGACTTGCACCCCGCCTTGTATAAAAGCGTGCTGGTTGAGTTTAGGCCAGTTAAGACCCCCCCCCCGAGGAAGCTTGAGGCAGGGAACAGACCAATGTAGTGACGGGGGGGGGGGTGTGAGGCCTCTCCACACCCTCTGACCACACCCTCTTTTATCGTAGGGGGAGGCCCCGCCTTCTGTACAGACCCGGGCCACGCCCCCCACGCCCCCCCAGTCTAAGGAAGGGGCTCGAGGGGTGGCGCTGCGGCTTCGAGAGCAGCAGCTGGAGATTCTGACTCGAATGGCCCTGATGGAGCAGCGAGTGAAGGAGCTGCAGCGCCAGAGGAAGGAGCTGAGAATCGAGGTGAGGCTGCAGACCTTGTGCACGAAGCCTCCCAGTCCTTTCCTCTATGGGATCCAATTCCAGGCCTCCAGCCCCCTCCTTTCCTAGACCTCCGAGCCCTAGCTTTTCCGTTTTCTCCACAGATGGAGGTTGAGGTGGCCCTGCTGCGCGGGGAGCTGGCTGGGGAGCGAGTGGCTGCCCGGCGGGAGGAGGAGCAACTCCGGGAGCTGCTAGAGCAGCAAGTGGACACAGAGCAGGGCAGCCGGGAGCAGCGGGAACAGAGGGAACAGGTCTGTTGGTCCGGCTGAGTCTTCATCATCAGTTTTCTTCCCTGTCGGAGGGGTATTCCTGGTGGGGTTCCCGGGACGCGGGCTCCAAGGACTAGGGTTACCCCTATTCCCCAAGTGGGGACACTTGGGCTAGGATGGGAGGTGGTGATGGACAGATGCCTTTCCTTATCTTCCTCCTGCCTCCCAGACCAGGATTTTGGAGCCTGACTCACCGGGGCCTTCCTTTGGCCCCCTCTCTTCGCTCTTTCAGTGTCACACTGTGAAAAACGTCAAACCAGTAGCAACAGAAGAGTCAGATGGCCGCCGTGCGGTGTGCTCGCTCCTTAGCTTCAGCAGTGACCGACTTCCATGCCTGTTTGGTAGCCCTCAGTTTGTGTCCCTATTCCTGGTTTTGAAAGCCTGTCCCAGATATCACATTACTTTTCAATAAGAACTCCTTTTTACATTAATAAGTTTTAAATATTGTTTTATTTCCAGTTTTCGAGTTTCCAGATCGTCTCAAAAATGCCCCTGAATGGTTGGTTAGCTGTTTGAATCAGGTCCCCAAAAAGGTTGAAATGCCATACGTGTTGGGTTTTTTTTTTTACTGATTTTATTTTATTTGTATTTTTTTCATTACTTGTTTCACTTCTAGTAGTCCCTCCCTACTATTGTTTTCCATCCCACTTCTTGGAGAAACCAAGTCTCCTGTCCCACAGTCAGGATGTGGCCCGTGTCCTTTGCCTGTCCCTCTTCCTTGCAGCAGGTGGTGGGTGAGAAGTTCAAGTTGCATCAGATTCAGGTGTGCTTGGTGCTTCCTGTGTGCCATGCTAGGGGGACGTCAGCTCTGGTTGTCCAACCTCAGAAGGTCACTCTGATCCCTTCCTAATAATCCTGTACCTAAAGGCTTTAACAGCCCTCCATTGGTAGTCATTGTGTGGATTTAAGGTTACAACTTAGGAGATGGAACCTTTGTTGTTCTATCAAATGATCTCTTAGCCCTTATCTTGTATGTCGTAATATCCTCGGGCTGGGTCCTCAAAGAGCCTGTATTTCTCTCAGCCCTGATTTCTCTCCCATAACCAGACCTCTGTGTCCTGCTGAAGATACTGGCTCCTAGATAGTCCTTCCTCGCCCAGTACGCAGGAGTCGAGGCGCCCAGGCCTCACCTCCCACAGACCCACGAGTTGGCCCTTCTCGGTCACCACAGCCAAAGCTGACCTCAGCAACTTCCTTTTCTACATTCTTTCTAGCTCACCCTCCCTTGAGTCACCAGGCCAGTGTCCTGGACCTTGCTCGGCTCACCTCCCTACCTTTCACACCCAACCCTGTCAATCAACAGGTCTCACCCTTTCTGTCCCCTGGTCCTCTGTCTAGCGCATCCCCTTTGCATCCCCACTGCCAGGCCGAGGGTAGGTCTCGCCCTTCTTGCTTGGAGGGCTCATGAAGTAGCTGGTCTCAACTCCTGGAATCCATCTCCCAAAGGGACGATTCCACACCTCAGTCCCCCTCCATCCTTTCAATCCTTCCATGGCTCCCCATTGCCTCGGGATTAGGGCTTCTTAGCCCGGTTGACCAAACCCAACACCAGCTGAGCCCACCTTTCCGCCATCGTCTCCCCTGTGCTCACTGTCTCTTTCCTCCACTGTGTCTTCTTCCTTCCCAACCAGAGTTTGCCCCTAAACTTCCCACACTTTTCAACTCCACGGCGCATTTGCAACATGCTGTTCCCTCTCCCCAAAATACCCTTTCAACCCCCTCTATCTCCTTAGGTCTAAATGCGCTCTGATTTTTGAGGCTCATCTTAAAATCTTCACATCCAGGAAAACCTGGGATTACCCCAATAGATTGCTCCCCACTCTGGGTTCCGACAGTCCCTGCATTTCATTGCCTGGATTGTCCCAGGCTGTAACTGGCTGTGACCCCACCTGGGGTCCAGGGACCATGTCTGACCCCCTGCTCTGGGTCCAAGTATCAATCACCCAGCATGGATATGCTTTGCATTCATTCATTTATTTTTCTTTAATTAATTAACTTATTTTTAGACAGAGGGGGAGGGATGGAGAAAGAGAGGGAGAGAAACATCAATGTGTGGTTGCCTCTCATGCACCCCCTACTGGTGACCTGGTCTGCAATCTAGGCTTGTGCCCTGACTGGGAATGGAACCGGCGACCCTTTGGTTCGCAGCCCGTGCTGAATTCACTGAGCTACACCAGCCATGGCATCATTCATTTCCTGAACAACTGTTTAGATGATGCCTACTCCAGACAAGCCAACACCAAAGTGAACCAGACTCACAGGGTCCCTGCCCTCATGAAGCCAACCCCAGGCAGGGGGGCGTCAGAGGTCCGGTGGGCCTGGCCCTCGCTTGCCTCTGTGTCTGTCCCTTGTGCTCAGAGGGAGGCCAAAAGCCTGGCTGTTCTTTCAGGAGCAAAGGCGGCTGAGCCAGGAGCGGGATCGAGTGGAAGGTCTTCGACAGAGACTCCGTGAGGCCCAGGGGCAACTCGACTCACAGCCAGAGGACCAGCGTGAGCGGTTCCTGCAGACCGTGCAGGAGGTGAGGGCTCTTTGGACCCTCTCAGGGACCGGGTGTCTAGGCCCCTCCCCACTCAAGACCCAGAAGTCCAAGCCTTCAGCCTCCTACTCCCAGAGTCCCCTAACCCCCAGGACTTGAATCTAGGCCCTCAATGCCTCCTCCCTTGTTAGCCTGGAGTCCTGGCCCACCCTTTACTCCCCTGAGCCCTCCGGGTCCAGGCTTCCAGCCCTTTTGCATTTCTGCCCACAGATGAGGGAACAACTGGATGCGGCCCAGCGTGCCTACGAGGACCTGGAGTTCCAGCAACTGGAGCGGGAGAGCCGGCGGGAGGAGGAGGATCCTCGGGGCAGCCCTGGAGCTCGTGTGCGGGACCCCAAGGTCCAGGAGCTGCAGGCCAGCCTGGCTCAGCACAGGGTGAGCCGGGCCGCGCTAGCCTGCCTTGCTCACGGCGCCCTCCGCCTCCTCCCCTCCACGTCTGGCCCTTCTCTGATCCCCACCTGTGCCGTGTCCTTCACAATAGGAACAATAATAGCTGACGTCTGTTTAATCACTGAATCCTTACAACAATCCTGGGAGACAGAGCTTACCTTTTCCCATTTTATAGATGAAGAAACTGAGGGTCAGCCTACTCACGGAACCTTTGCCAAGTCGCTTAGTTTGTAGAGGGCAGAGCTGGAATTTGAACCCTTTTCACTCTTCACCACTACACTCTATGCCTGTCAAACCCTATCCAAAAAGATGCTTTTTGAGAGCATCTTTTTGCTGCCGCCAGTTCTTTCTGCGAGCGTCAGAGTCAAGGGTCTGACAAAGCCCACTGGAAAAAAAGTGACACGTTTGGCCGGACTGAGCGCCACGTGTTCTGGAATTTTGCATCAGAGAGTTCTGAAGTGTGTCTTCTCTCTCCGCCTCCATTTCTGGGTCCCTTTCCTGTCACTCTCTTTTCCGTCCCTCTGTCTCACGCAGCTTCTGTCCATCTCTGCGGTGCTTCCACCCTGTCTTCCTTCTCTGCATCTCTGCCTCTTGGGATCTGTCTAGGTCCTGCTTCCGGTTTGTTCCTCCATCTGCCCCTTTCTCGCTCTGTCTCTGGCGACTCTGGGTCTCTGTCTGTAGGTACGACCCTCCATCTCCTCTTCTGGACACCCCAGAGGGAAGAAGGCACCAGGGAGCTTAACTCTGAGTCCCCCCCCAGCTCCCTTCAGGCCCTCAGGACCCGGGGTCTCTGTTATGGTATAGCTGGTTCTGGAGGAGCCAGCCGGGGACCCGGGTCAGCTAAGTAATGGGGGTACTGGGGGTGCCCTGCAGCATCGGATCCAGGTCTTGGAGGAGCAGCTGAAGTCGCTGGGGGAGCAGATGGCAGCTGAGAGCCGGGGGCTGAGCCGGAAGAAGGAGGAGGCCCTTCAGGCCCTGACACAAGTAGGTGGCCATCAGTTCTGTGGCTGGGGTGGCCCGTCCTGCCGACTCTGGAGGGTGGCGGTCCGTGATGTCATGCCTCTGCCCTCCCTTAGGAACGGAGCCGGCTGCTGGAGCTCAACTGCCTTCAGGGCAGCTCTGGCGGAGACCCTGCCGAGTCCAACCAGGCCCTCACTAAGGTATGGGGGTTTCAGTGCACCCGTCAGCCCCGCCCCCGCCCCCCTCAGACTCAGGAGTCTAGGCCCTTAGACCCCTCTTCCCTTGGGATCCAGGATGCTCAGCCTCTGGGTGATGGAGGAATTCGGGGCCCCCAGCTCCTCCTCCTCAGGGAAAGAGCAGTCTCTGCCCATGGTCTGGGAGATCAAACAGTGAGACCCCATTCCAGCCCTCTGGTGACATTGGGCCTTTGTTTTTCCATCTGAGAAATGGGCTGGCACTGGAGACAGTGGCCAGAGCATCCTAGAACTAGTGGGGCCTGCGATCCCTCCAGCTCCTGTTGACCTTCACCCTCTCACGCAGCTCCTGTTCACTCAGAAGACAGACCGCCAGCTGCTGGTGCTGCAGGACCCCAAGGCGCCGCACGCTGCCACCTCCGCCTCTTCCTGCCTCTTCTCCGTTCACAGCTCCCTGCAGGTGCTTCCCCGCTGTCCCCCTAGTCGCCTTGTCTCCAGAATTCCCACTGTGGCTTTCTCTGCCATGGGGGGGGAGGCAGGGAGAGTTAGTTGATCCAGGGGTATTTTTAGTTTTATCAGGCTCCGGCTTCATTTTTTTCTTCCCCTTTTGCCTAACCCTCAATTCCTTCCCTGGAAAAATGAAACGTGTGTGTGCCCAGGAGCAAGTGGGAAAAGCATCTGAACAGGGCGTATTGATAAGCGGGCCCCCCCGCCCACCCTGCTGGCCCACAGTCCCCTCCGCAGAGGCAGCACAACTGTGTGTTGCTGGCGTAGCCTCCCTTTTGGATCTTCGGAAACTGTGTTAATGAGACAAGTTGCTACTGACTTTTTCAATGAAGTAGAGTAGCCGGTGGCAGGGCGTGGTGCCTGAGGTGGGGTGCAAGTTACATGACAAAAGTCTCGTTTCAGTTGTGTGGATAAGCGCTTAGAAATTGGTAGCTTGCGTTATATCATGTAAAGCAGTTTTTTTTTGTTGTTTTGCAAAAATGTGTATGTTAGCTATAAGTTGGCTTTTATAACTGAATGTTCTGTCATGGAGATTGTTTGCTATTGACACATTTAGAGCTGACTCATCCTGGTTAACAACCCTGTGACGATAACCGGATAAACAATAACAGTGATACTAACGACAGCTCATATTTCCCGTGTATCGTGGGCCAGGTACCATGTGAAATGCTTCACGCATGATTCATACACCTGGTGTTGCAAAAACTCAACGAAGAAGGTTCTTAGGTCCATTTTGCAGGTGAAGAAACTGAGGCAGGGAGGTGAAGGTACTCAGCTAGTTGGTGTGTGGCTGAGTCGGGATGTGAACCCAGGTGCTCTGTCTTCAGAGCCTACGCTCCACCCCTCTGGGCTTCCCTGTGGACACAGTTCTACTCTGGGGCATCAAGCCACCCTCCCTCTGTGGATAGTGATCTGTTTTTTGCAGTTGCAGCAATGCTGTTGAAGAGATCTCAGTGTGTGTGTGTGTGTGTGTGTGTGTGTCTTTGTACACAGGCTAATAACATGAGTATTATTAGACTGTCTAGTATACATATCATGTAATATAATATGCAGTGTGTTCTTTCTTATTAATACTTTTAAAATCTTGCCTTAACCTTTTTTAAAAAGATTTTATTTATTTATCTTTAGAAAGGAGAGAGGGAGAGAAATATCAATGTGTGGTTGCCTCTCATGTGTCCCCTGCTGGGAACTGGCCTGCAACCCAGGCATGTGCCCTGACTGGGAATTGAACCGCCATCCTTTGGTTTGCAGGCCCACACTCAATCCACTGAGCCACACCATCCAGGGTTAAACTTTTTTTTACTTACTGATTTTCTAGGGAGAGAGAAATATTGCCTTGTTCCACTTATTTATGCACTCAGTGGACAATTCCCGTGTGTCATGGCCGGGGATGAAACCTGCAACCTTGGTGTGTCGGGACAATGCTCTAACCAACTGAGCTATCTGGCCAGGACTACTTATTAAAATTAATTAATATTAATAATAAGTCACTTTAGAGAGAGTAATGTAGGCTGGGGTCTACTTAAAGCATTTTTATCACTTTGAGCCATGTGGGATTGCTATTATTTAGATATGAAAAACAGCCAAATATTGGCAACTTGATATAAAATTATATGTATTCATGTACATTCATGAAGTTGTGTTTTGTATAATTTATGAATATATAATTCCATGAATATATAATATATATTCATGGATATCTATGTATGTATAAAATGAAAATATATCATTTCATTTTTTGCTCAGAAGAATCTCCCAAAGTAGGTCCTATTAGTGGCAAAGGGTGAGCAGATAATGTCTAGGGAACTCACTTTCTGACTGATTTTCCTGGGAGCCTGATAAAGGTAGCAGCTGGGTTGCCAGGCAACCGACTTACAGTAAATACGACCCTTATAAGTAAGTTGCCTGGCTACAGATACTCAATGGGAAGCCGGGTCCATTCCTATGGAGTCCTTTCCTGAGTTACTGCCTCCTGTGGACACGGAGCTTCTAGGGCCAGGGGCACCCTGTACCCTCTGCTGTGGCTCTCATACCTGTCCTGCGCCCAGGTGTCTGTCACCTGGGGGGCCCGGCCAGGCAGTCCTCTAAGTGCTTTGCACGAGGTCACTCATGTAATCCTGACCTTGGCCACGGCAGGGCAGTGGGCCCTCGGCCACTTTGCAGCAGGCAAGTCCAGCCTGGGAGGAGACATGTCCTGCCAAAGTCACACACCCAGGAAGTGGCAGAGCAGGTCTGAACCCAGTATGTCTGTTTCCGTGGCCTGTGCCTTTTAGGAGACTGGTTTTCTAGGGCTCCTGCAGAGTCGAGGTGGGCACCGTGCTCAGCACTGGTCCAGAGGGAGCAGCCGGGGGCCGCAGGGCACAGCCGGATAAAAAAGTAGATAACTCCTCATCTTCTTACCCCTTTTCTCTCGCTTCAAGTCCTAGTAAATCCTCACATTCCACCCTTCTTTCCCGGATGCCGTGATGTCTGAGAGTACAGCCCCTGCTGGGGTTCAGCTGGCAGTACTTCCCAGCTGGCTGAACTCAGACATGCCTCTGTGCCTCTGTTTGCTTAGCTGAAAAATGGGAATAATAACAGCACCCATTGGTCGACAGGTAAAGGCTCAGCATGGTGCCTGGCACATAGTAGGTGCTCCGTGGATGTGGCCTGCTGGTACTCTGATCACAGTCACAAATATTAGTCGTAGTATGATTATCGGCATCCTTCTCTCCAGTTCCATCCCATCTCTGGTTTTTGTGACCCTATCCTGGCTTCCTCACTGGTGTCTCTGTCTTCTTTTTTATCTCCCAACCATCTGTTCTGCACACAACAGATGCATCTCCTACTTCAGTCCTCCCCGCCAAATGCCTTCAGCCCCCCCAGGCCTCCTCGCCAGGGCCTGCCAGCCCCTGCACGATCGGGCCCCTGCCCCCGCTCACCGCTGTCCTCAGGACCCTGCTCAGCTGCAGAGCGCTGACCAGCCGCACTTGTTCCTGTCTCAGGACCTTTGCACTTGCCGATTCTTCCACCTGGAACACTTCCCCTCAGTCTTCCCCAGCCGGCTTTTTTTTTAAAGTACATTTTATTGATTATGCTATTACAGTTGTCCCATTTTTTTTCTCCTCTTTAACCTTCCTTCGCCTGTACCCTCCCTACCCTCCAGCATTCCCCCCTCCCCTGCCTTAGTTCGTGTCTGTGTGTCGTATATATAAGTTCTTTGGCTTCTCCATTTCCCATACTGTTCTTACCTTCTCCCTATTTTGTACCTGCCAGTTATGCTTCTTATTCCCTGTACCTTTCCCCCCCATTCTCCCCCTCCTTGCTCATAACCCTCCATGTGATCTCTATTTCTGTGATTCTGTTCCTGTTACTAGTTGTTTGCTTAGTTTTTGCTTTTGTTTTTTAGGTTCAGTTGTTCATTGTTGTCATTTTACTGTTCATAGTTTTTGATCTTCTCTTTCTTAGCTAAGTCCCTTTAACATTTCATATAATAAGGGCCTGGTGATGATGAACTCCTTTAACCTGACCTTATCTGGGAAGCACTTTATCTGCCCTTCCATTCTAAATGAAAGCTTTTCTGGACAGAGTCATCTTGGGTTCAGGTCCTTGCCTTTGATGACTTCAAATACTTCTTTCCAGCCCCTTCTTGCCTGCAGGGTTTCTTCTGAGAAACCAGCTGATTGCATTATGGGAAATCCTTTGTAGGTAACTGAATCCTTTTCTCTTGCTGCTTTTAAGATTCTCTCCTTATCTTTAATCTTGGATAACATAATTATGATTTTCCTGGGTGTGTTCCTCCTTGGGTACAACTTCTCTGGAACTCTCTGGGCTTCCTGGACTTCCTGGAAGTCTAAGTTTTCCTTTATTGTTTGTTCAGATAAGTTTTCAATGTCTTGCTCTTCCTCTCCTTCTGGCACCCCTGTGATTCAGGTGTTGGAACATTTAAAGTTGTCCTGGAGGTTCCTAAGCCTCTCCTCATTTTTTTCTTTTTTGCATTCTTATTTTTCATTCTGTTCTGATTGGATGTTTATTTCTTCCTCTTGTTCCAAATCGTTGATTTTAGTCCTGGTTTCCTTCCCTTCGCTGTTGGTTCCCTTTATATTTTCCTTTATTTCATTCTGTGTAGCCTTCATTTCTTCCTTCATTTTGTGACCAAGCTCAATCAGTTCTGTGAGCATCCTGATCACCAGTGTTTTGAATTCTGCCTCAGACAGGTTGGCTGTCTCCTCATTGCCCAGCTGTTTCTCTGGAGTTTTGATCTGTTCTTTAATTTGGGCCATATTTCTTTGGAATGGCGTACCCGTAATGTTGTAGGGGGAAAAGCCTTAGGTATTCACCAGGACAGGGCACCATTTTTTGCTGCATTGTGGCAGTGTCTGTTGGGGGAGGGTCAGAGAGGGAACAATGCCCTTGGCTTTGCCTGAGCTGCACTTTCCAACAAACTCTCCTGTGAGGCTGGGAGTTTGCCTTTGCAACCCCCATAGCATTTTACAGTTAGAGGTGTGTGTGTTTTTTTTTTAAAAAGTATTAGAGAGGAGAAGGGAAGGAGAAAGAGTGGAAGAGAAACATCCATGTGTGGTTGCCTCTCACATGCCCCCTACTGGGGACCTGGCCTGTGCCCTGACTGGGAATCGAACCAGCGACCCTTTGCTTCACAGGCCCATGCTCAATCCACTGAGCTACACCACTCAGGGTTACGGTCAGAGGTTTTGAGTCTTTAGTTTCCCAGTCAGCCAGCCCCTGCCTCGCTCACATGGTCCACCTTGCTGCCCATCCTCTCTGCCAGGAGTTCCGTGAAGTCTGATTTTTCTGGCAGTCCTCATTGTTCATTGTTTTAAAATTGGTTGTTATCCATCTTTTGGTTTTGCGAGGAAGTGAAGTGTTTTTCTACGCTTCCATCTGGCAGAAACTCTCCAGATTCTTCCCTGGCCAACTTGTATCCTTGGGCCTTGGGTCACTGTCCAGAAGGCTCTCCCTGGTCTTCCGGTTGGAAGGTGACCCTCTTTTTTTTTTTAATCCTTACCTGAGGGTATGTTCATTGACCCCTGAGAGAGAGAGGAAGGGGCGTGGAGGGAGAGAGAGAACAGAGAAACACTGATCAGTTGCCTACCACATGAGCCCCCACCAGGGATCGAACCCACAACCTGTTGGTGTCCAGGATGACGGTCCGACCTCCTGAGCCACCCGGCCTGGGCAGAAGGGGACGCACTTTTATAGCACCCTATTCTCTTCGCCCCCATCAGTTTCTGATGATATACATTTATTGGCACGACTGAAAAATTTCTATCAAAAGGGACTCACCTTCATTTACTGTTTTGTTACCCAGGGGTGTGATTTTTTGTAGGAAATGTAGGGAAAATGCTCACTGGTTTGACTTCCTTCACCTGTCTTCAAAACCAGGTTGGTTCTCCTGCATCCTCCCCAGGTAACCACGTCAGTTTTCCCTTTACTGTTACTATTATGATTTACCCTGCCCCCTGTTAATAATAATACTGTTATTATTAACTCATGGATTACATGTGTTTGATGAGTTACGACCTGTAGCAGTGAGTATCCTTACTGGTGCTCAAATCATGCAACTTTTAAAAATTATTTTTATTATCCACACAGAGGTGTTGCTGTTTTTTTCTTTAGAAATGACTTTAACTATTTCTTTATGGGTTGTTCTCATGGACATTTTCATCTTTCATTACTTTTCCTTTTGAAATAACTTAAGACTTACAGAAAGAGTAGAAAGAATTCCTGTGTAGCTGTCATTCAGAATCTGTAATGAACATTTTACCACGTTTGACATTTGCTTTATTATTCTTTCTTGTCTCTGTACACACACACACACACACACACACACACACACTTTACTATTCTCTTCTGAAGTGTGATTCCCTTCTACCCCTAAATACTTCTCTATCATTCTGTAAGGCCAAGGCCATTCGTTCTTAAATTTTTATTCATTTTTAAGAGATTTTATTTATTTATTTTTAGAGGGAGGGGAAGGGAGAAAAAAAGAGAGGGAGAGAGACACCGATGTGAGAGACGGTTGGTTGCCTCTTGCTTGTGCCCTGACCGGGGACTGAACTCTCAACCCAGGCATGTGCCCTGTTCAGGAATTGAACCAGTGATCTTTTGTTTTGTGGCGTGATGCCCAGCCAACTGAGCCACACCTGTCAGGGCTCAAGGCCATTCTTTTTTTTTTTTTTAAAGACCAGCAATGTTTTAAAAAGGACTTTGTTTATTTTATTTTTAGATAGTGGGGAAGGGAGGGAGAAAGAGAGGGAGAGAAACATCAGTGTGTGGTTGCCTCTTACACGCCCTCTACTGGGGACCTGGCCCACAACCCAGGCATGTGCCCTGACTGGGAATTGAACTGGTGACCCTTTGGTTCACAGGCCCGCACTCAATCCACTGAACCACACCAGCCAGGGCTCAAGACTGTTCTTACACATAACCACAGTACAGTGATCAAACTCAGGTAACTAATTGAGATAATACTATTAAAACCCACAGATCTTATTTATATCTAGTCAGTTGTCTCACTAATGTTTTTTCTGGGACAAAAACCAAAGGAAATTTTTTTTTCTGTCCAGGAACACAGGTTGCATTTAGTTATCCTTTAAAAAAAAAACAACAAGCTAAACATCCCCCGTGTTTAAAGCTCAAAAGGCATGGAAAAGGCTCTTTGGCTATTATGTCCAACCATTCAGATCCTCTGCCGATGGTGGCCAGTGTCTGGTGTCTACTTGGAGATGTTTGTGTTTATACATTCTGTCCTGCACACATGCTGTCTCTTTTTTTATGCACAAATATATCATCCTTACGCTGCTGTGCACTTGCTTTTTATCTTGGAGGTTATTTTCTTTCCGGCTGTAAAGAGCATCCCCTCCTCCTAGTGTACGTGCTGTGGCGTTTTCCACGGCGTGCGTCATCCCTGATTATTTACCCTGCCCCCTTCTGTGGGCACATGGGTGGTGTCCAGGCTTCTGAGGGGAATAACCTTGAACTCAAGCCATTTTGCATATGTATTAATATATGCATTGGATATAGTCCTGCAAGTGGAACTGGGGCTCAAAGATGTATGCATTTGGTATTTAAAAATAAAATAAAAAGAGCCACACTGGCCTCTCTAAAGCTTGTTCTGATAGAACGGCCCCTCCCCAACATGTGGGAGGGTGCCTGGCTTTTCCACGTGCCCTCCACACAGTGCGCTTTTCTTTTTAGTTTTATTAAAACGTAATTCACCTAGTTCAAGTGTACAACTAGTGGCTTGTAGTGGATTCACAGAATTGAGCGACCATCACCACCACTTAGGGCCTGGTCATTACAGCAGAAGAAACCCGGGGCCCTTTAGCCATCACCCTCAATTGTCCCTCTTCCCCAAAAGACCGATCTACTTCCTGTCTCCTTGGCTTTGCCCATTGTGGACTTGACCCGGTGTGGCCCTCTGCGGCCGGTAGCTCTCACTCGGCATCACGTTTATAATGGCTTTTTGACTTGTGCCGGTTACATGGTGGTTTCCCTCGGCAGTGAGCCCTCTGACTTCCAGTTGAGATTGAGCGTCTCCTGTGTTTTCAGGGCTCCATCGGCCTCCAGAGGACTGGGAGCATGTCCCGGAAGAGGGGAGAGAGACTGAGCCAGAGGGGATCCCCCCGACCTCTGTCCCTCCACTGTGCTGGTGAGGACCCCCCGCCATCCCCCGACACCTCTTCCTTCCCAACCACCAGCCTTCCTGAAGCACAGGACGGAGGAACTTGGCATGGCTGCCTGTCCGGGGAGAAGTGGAGGGGCTTGGACAAGGGAGAGTCCCAGCCGCCTACCCTGACCCCACCTCTGCTCCTCCAGGGCCCCTGGAGGCCTCAGCCCTCCCAGCAGCAGGGGACTCTGGGAGACACCCGCTCTATCAGCTGCTGAACTGTGGCCCTGGAAATAGGTGAGACATCAGGGAGAAGGTGCAGAGAGGGAGGGGAGAGGCAGGGCCCCTGTAACCTGCCCTGGTCTCTGTGCCCTCCTCCTAGCTATGGGGCGCTCTACCCAGACATCGCCCGCATGGAGCGGCTGCTGCAGCAGGCTGTGGCGGAGCGGGAGCGGCTGCTCAAGGCCAGGGTGAGACGCTAGACCCTCCTCCCTCAACCCAGAACTCCAGGCCCCTAGCCCCTCCTCCCTCGGACCGGGATTCCACGCGCCCAGCCCCCCGCCCCGGGGAGTTCAGGCCCCCAGCCCCTCCTCCCTCGGACCCAGGAGTCCAGTCCTTTGTTCCTCAGATCTTACTGGTGGGTCTCCTGACTGACCCCGTCCTGAATCCACAGGAAGGAACAAGAAGGAGCGCAGAAGGTTGCTCAGGCCCCGCTGTTCCTGCCATCATGGTCAGTCTCCCACCCTCACCCCACCTCTCCCCCTCTTGTGTTGCTCCCTGGCCTCTGTCTTTTCCTATCTCACCCTTTCCTCTCCAGTGGCGCAGAAAAGGGTCCTGGGCTCGGCAAGGGAAGGGAACCAAAAAGACCGGGCTTCCCTTCCCGCTGCGGTTGTCTGTACCCACGGCACGTCCTCGGGTAACACGCTCCGCTTGGCTGTGCCTCAGTCTCCTCCCCTGGAAGTGGGTGGTGACAGTGTCACAGTTACTGCAAAATGAAGGCAACTACATCCGGGGCCTTTAAAAATCATTTAAAAATTTGCGTTTTTGGTTTATTTTTGTTTTTTTAACAGACTTACCAAATTTTAAAATATGAATTTAAAAAAAGATTTTATTTATTTATTTTTAGAGAGAGGGGGAGGAAGGGAGAAAGAGAGGGAGAGAAACATCAATGTGTGGTTGCCTCTCCAACGCCCCCTACTGGGGACCCGGCCTGCAACCCAGGCATGTGACCTGTCTGGGAACTGAACCAGCGACCCTTTGATTCACAGACCGGCACTCAATCCACTGAGCCACACCAGCCAGGGTCTTCCCGACTTGTTTAACACCATTTTACTCATAGAAAAAAACTCATCCTGTACTTTCTTACATTATGGATTTAGCTGACAGCCTCCTTATTCAAATGGTATTTTACCTGTGCTAATACCATGGATACATTTTTATTATAAAGAATGTGACAGCATGGGCCCTGGCTGGTGTAGCTCAGTGGATTGAGTGCGGGCTGCGAACCAAAGGATTGCAGTTCCATTCCCAGTCAGGGCACACGCCTGGGTTGCGGGCCAGTTCCCAGCAGGGGACGCACGAGAGGCAACCACACATTGATGTTTCTCTCCTTCCCTTCCCCTCTAAAGATAAATAAATAAAATCTTTTAAAAAAAGAACCTCTGAGACATAGACATATACCATATTTTAAAAAAAACAAACAATGAAACATAGCTCAGGTGAGGATTAGAAAGATAATAATAAAGCTTTCCAAAAAGGAAAAGCCCAATGAGTAAGTAAAATAAGGTGCACGTCAGGTGCTGATATGAGTCAAGGACTGAAAGCAGAGCATGAGCTCTAGCTCATTAAAAATGAATCACCCCTGCTTGGTAGCGGCATCATTTATTAAGTAGCGTGTTTCTGGGTCTGTGCCTAACAGTAGAGTCACCAGGTTGGAGAGCCTGACAGCAGCCAGCGCTGCCTGGAGCAGCCTGTGCTGTGAAAACAGCCCCTGAGCTTCAGTTGGGGGGGGGGGGCGGGGACTGAGGCTCTGAAAGGGGCGGGGTCCTGTGCGGAGTACACAGCCCGAAGGCCAGCCCTGCTGCTCCCTTGGATCTGGGCGGACTCCGCCACGTCCTACCTGGGTAACCTGGCTGAGTCACCGCCTCTCTGAAGCCTCAGTTTTCTCAGCTGTCAAGTGGGGACAGGAAGGAGAGAGAAAATGAGGTAGTCATGGTGATCGCTGGACACACTGGGGAGCCACCCCTATGGATTTGACAGGATGACCTATGCGCTTCCAGGTGCCCCAGCGGGTGTCCTTGCAACAGTCTGCCCCTCCACGTCCCCTCTTTTTTTCCAGCTCGATCTCTGTCTCCACCCAGTGAGTCTCTTCTGTTTCTCATCCCTTCTTGCTCTGGCCTCACTTCAGTCTTCTCAGCCCTCCACACTCAAAGTGTGGCCTGTGGACCGACAGCATCGGCGTCCCTGGGGCCTGTCACATCTGCAGAACCTCACCCCACCCCAGACCCTGCCTGGAACGACCTAATCTGAGCGTGCATTTTAACAAATTCCCCAGGGGCTCTGCTCGCGGGCAGGTCTGAGGCCTGGCGTGGGTCCCCTGACTGCGGGCTCATGCTAGTCTTTGCAGAGATCATTCAGGAAGAGTAGGTGTGATCGGGCTGGGCCTGGTAACAGTAGGCACTTTCAGGGCCTTAATTTAATTCTTCTCCCCTTTTTGACCACCTGAGGGGACCACTGCCTGGCAAGTCCTGTCTTGGTTATCTCTGGCTCTGTGACTTGGGCCTAGTGACAACCTCTCTGAGTCTTAATTTCCATATCTTTAAAATGGAAAAAGTAGCCCCGGCTGGTGTGGCTCAGTGGACTGAGGGCCAGCCGGAGAACCAAAGGGTCACTGGTTTGATTCCCAGTCAGGGCACATGCCTGGGTTGCAGGCCAGGTCCCCAGTAGGGGCGTGTGAGAGGCAACCACACATTGATGTTTCTCTACCTCTTTCCCTCCTATCTCCTCTCTCTAAAGATAAGTAAATAAATAAAATCTTTCAAAATTATTAAAATGGGGATAATAGGGTACTGACCCCCCAAGAGGGTTTGAGTGGGCAGTGGAATTACGCCTATAAACTGCTTAGCACAGGTAATAGTCACTGACTTCATCACAACAGCAATGATAATGGAAATGGCGCGCTCACTTACTGACCACTTACTATTTGGTCCCTGCTTTCCAGAGGCAGTATGTGAGGGTCCCCACTTTGGGGACCCTGACCTAGGCATCCCTCCCCTCTGTGACATGCCCGTGGTGTTTCACCCTGAGCTCTTAGGTCAGGAAGCCCTGGGTTCCGGCCCCAGTTCTGCCACCTGAGCTCTGGGTGACCTTGGGTGGCTTTACTTCATCTCTTTGTACCTCGCTTTGCTCATCTGTAGTATGGGGCTCATAGTATCCCTGTCCCAGGGACGGGTGGGCGGTGGTGGGGGAGTCAGGGGGTTGACGCTGATGAAGCTCCGGCAGTTTCATAGTAAGTGTAGCCGTCAGTTTCCCCATCGGGGTCGTCACTGCTAGAGTTGCTGTTTAAAGGCTGTAAGAGGCCTTTCATGACTTTTCCGAAGGCTCCTCCTGTGGGCTCCAGGCTTCAGGACCTCCTCCTGACCCTGTGCCCTCAGCTGCCCCCTTTTCTTCTCTCCCAGGCCCCGCCCATGCTCCCGCCCCGCCCTCAGGTACCCCGGGTCTTGGATCTCCAGCAGCACCTGGAACGCTGGGGCCACAACCCTGAAAATTGCCCAAATGTCCAGGTGTCTGGGGGCTGCTGCCGCGGGCCCCTGGTGAAGATGGGCGGGCGCATCAAGACCTGGAGGAAGCGGTGGTTCTGCTTTGACCGCCAGGCCCGGCGCCTGGCCTACTACGCGGGTAAACCCATCCTGAAGAAGTCCACCCCCGGGGCTTTCCCACCAGACACCTAGGAGCCCTGGCCCCGGCCCCGCCCCCTTCTCTTAGGCGCATCCCCAGCCCCTTCCTTCCTCAGGACTCAAGAGTCTAGGCCCCCACACTGGACTTCCCCTCAGGGTCCAGGAGTTTGGTCCCCTACTCTTCCCTAACTTTCCACAACCCAGGACTCTGGGCTCCTAGCTCCCTCTTCCCCCAGGACCCAGGAGTCCTGACCTCCATCCCCTTCCTCCTATAGAAAGCCTGCTTCAGTAACATGGGTAACAGTTTTGTACAATTTTGGCTCCCCAGTCCCCATTTTTCTAAAATACCCAGGAGGAGTCAGAACCCATCTAATCAGTGCCCTCCCTGCCTCCGAGACCCAGGAGTCCAGGCCCCTCTCGACTTTTCTCCAGGGGAGTCAGTGCATCTGGCCTGTCCTTGAGTCCCTTCCCTTGTTGGGGACCAAGGCACTGAGGGACTCGGATTCCAATCCCATCCCCTAGTCCTGTCCAGACTCCACATCAGGTTCCCATTTAGCATCCATGTTCACTCACCTCCCATCCACAGTACTTCAGGGGCCTTCGGACTGTCAACCTGCTCCCCACCCCAACCCCAATCTCCGGACGTGGACCCAGTGACCGCGCCCTGCCCAACGCACACTCATACCACGCACACACCTCACTGGCTCTGTTTCTCCCTCACCTCCCTGTCAGACAAGGAAGAATCTAAACTCAAAGGCGTCATCTACTTCCAGGCCATCGAGGAAGTCTATTACGACCACCTGCGCTGTGCCTTCAAGGTGAAGTCCCTGCTTGGCGCTGCCCTGTCCTCCTCGTGTGAGGCCCTGCAGTCTAGCTTTAGCTAGTTCCGGGGAAAGGCCATCCACGGCCCGCACCGTCAGGGTACTCCATCCAGCACAGGGGGGAGACAGGGCATTTCACTGCGGGGACCAAAAGTTAAGAGTTGCAGCCTTGGGTTCTCGGCCACTGTTACTTTTCCTGGCGTGAAAGATTTAGAGCAAAAGTTTGGCACACTGATGAATGAATGAATGAACGGCAGGGTGAGGGTTGGGGCAGCCTGGGAGCATTCAGAGGAGACCGCGGTTTCAGCTTCCGCCCGTAGTTGCCAAACAGAATGGGTCCCATGTCACATCATATTTTTAATTTTTTCCCTAGAGGACTCAGGAATTCAAACTTTTATAACAGTGCAATGCCAGAAATTTAAATGTTGGCAACTGGTACAGTGTTTAGAAAGAGCTGTGGAAAGCAGCCAGTGGGACATCAGGGAAGTGACTTCTGTTTGCCAGCCTTAGTTTTCTCACCTGCAGAATGGGCACACTTCAACCCATTTCCTCAGAGGTGAGAAGGTCAAAGACAGATAATGGATGTAAGGGATTTCCTGAATGTAGGCTTGGCAAGTAAATAATAAATAAATGGGTTGCAGAACACGCTAGCTTTCCCCAGTTACAAACCAGGGAGAGCTACATTTTGGAGAAAGGAAATCTGAATGCTTAGACTTCTAATATAGAGAAAGGTAGGCTCGGGGAAAGGAACACGGCTCCTTCTTTTTAAGTTCCTCTCCTAAAAATTCTAAGCTCCTCGTGTTAATTCATTTAACCCTCGCCACCCAATGAGGTAGGTGCCATTAGTTAGGACGGCAGATGGGGAAGCAGATTCGGGGAGTCTTAAGTAACTCGTCCAACGCCATATTCCATCCTTTCTGTGCTCTTAACCACCTCCCCCGCCCCTTTATCCCAGAGCCCCAACCCTCGCCTGACGTTCTGCGTCAAAACCTACGAGCGCCTCTTCTACATGGTAGCGCCCAGCCCCGAGGCCATGCGCATTTGGATGGACGTCATCGTGACGGCGGCCGACGAGAACCACGCCCCGTGAGCGGCCCCGCCCCTGGCGGACGGTCCTGCGAGGCCCCGCCCACTTCCGGAAAAGCCTGGGCCCCGCCCCTTTGGAACTCCGAGAAATCTGCCCGTGCTGCGGCTCTGCTGGCCTGAGCCGCGGTGTTTTTCGGGGCTGCAGGTGTCTTTCCCCCGACGGGAAGCCAGCCCCGGGGCCCTGTGCCGGGTTGGAGGAAAAGTGCGGGGGTGGGGAGGAACTATTTATTGGTGCTCCTGTGATACTGAATTAAACATGGAGGGAAAAACCGGTTGTTGTCTTTTCCAGCCCAAGCATCTGGGCCCCTCGCCCCGTATCGTCGTCGGCAGGACGTCCGATTTAGGGTTACATCAGAGCGCCAGGCGTCCCCCAGCCGGTTCTCCCCGCTGTAAAAACGGAGGCCTTCGACTCTCAGGTCACGGCTGAGAGAGGGGTGTGGAGAGGCATGTGTCCTTAGTCTTTGGCAATTTTGGTCTTTTAGTTTCTGGGTCTAACTGCTTCCACTCCCACCCCACTTTCAAATGATGGTAGAGTGGGGGGAAGGGTGAAAGATATAGAGGGAGAGAAACATCAGTCTCACACCCCCAAACCAGGGACCTAGCCTGCAACGCGGGTATGTGCTCTGACCGGGAATGGAACCAGACACAAGGCACTCAAGCCACTGAGCCACACCAGCCAGGTCTGCTTCCCCCCTTTTTGATTTGACTGGGCTCTTGCCACTCCAGGCCTTGGCACATGTTATTCCCTCTGCCCTGCCCTTAACCAGTTAGCTCCTCATTCTTCAGGTCTTATTTGGGAAGAAGCTCTTCCTGATTGGGTTAAGCACTGCTTTAAGCTCTACTGTTCCGTTCCTGAACAGCTAGGTTATCACTGGTGATTTATGTTCTTCTAGACTGGGAGCTCCATGAGGGCAGAACCAGGGCTGTCCTGGACATTGCTGTGTCCCCAGCACCATAGGGCACATTTCACTCCATGAAAGTGAAAAAAGAAAAATGCTTCCCATTCACCTCTTAGACAGCTTTTCCCACTCTACCCAGTTCCTACTCATCACTTAGGTTTTAGCGCAGGTGTTTCCTTCTCCAGGAAGCCTTCCCTGATTCTCATGGCTGAGTCAGATGCTTCCCCTGGACTTCACATCCTGGCTCTGATCACTCATCACAGCCTTGACTGACTGCTCTGGGTCATCGCTGCTGATGAGTGTGTCTCCGTGCTGGGTGGGAGCTCCAGAAGGCAGGGACTGGGGCTGTCTCTGTCACTACTGAGTCCTCCGTGCACAGCAAAGAGCCTTGTGCAAACTAGATGTTGAGAAAATGTCTAATGTGTTAATAAATCGATGAGAAAGATGCCGAGGACTGGAGACAATGGTGAACAAGGCACACAGAACTCTATCCTTTAGGTCTGACCCAAGGTGTCCCCTCCTTCACGAAGCTTTTCCTGTTCTCTAGACTGTGTCAGGTGCCTATTCTGGGTTTCCGCAGTTCCCCAGGCTCCCCCACAGTGACCCCTCTAGGCTGTGGGGTCAGGTCTCCCTCACCTCCTCTGAAATGGGACTATAAGTCCCTCTGGTTCCCATGTCCTTGGGACCTGGGTGTCCTATCAGTCCTGTCCCAGAATTGGCACTTCTGAGTCCTAGGGAGGCTGACACTCCAATTCCCAGGCTCTCAATGATCCCAGCTGTCCCTCCCTTGACCCCCACCTCCCGGTGGGAGACATCTGCATTCTTGGATCAATTCATCTCCTCTGCAAACTGGGCACAAGCTGGGGCCAGCTCCATGGCATGTATGTGACCAGCTGACCGGTTGCATGCTCAGAAGAACCCTCTCAGGATTAATGCTCTGTGGTTGCTGTCTGGAAAGTCTTAATTTTGTATTTGAACTTGTGTTTTATAAGTGAAGTCTGAAGGGCTGTGAAGCATGAGTTGAGGGGATTGGAGCCGAGACTCCGCCTCCTCCCCCCACCCCCACCCCATGACCACTGCCACCCTGCAGCTTCAGCGGGGCCTGGGTGTACATGGGCACCTGTGCCTTATGGCCTCTCAGGGTGGGGCGTGGCTGCGGGCAGCTGGAGGAAAGGGGGCCCAGAACCAGAACGCTCTAGTTATGCGACAAGGTCTCTAGACACCTGCGAGGGCCTGTGCTCACCCCAGAAGCATCCCTGTGCCCAAGGGAACATGACATTAAACGCCAGGAGAAGTGGAGAGAGATGGTGGAAGAAAAAGTTTCTATTTATAGTATTTTAAAGGCATTTTTTCCTGCCTTTTGAACCGGATCCCCGTATTTTCATTTTGTACTGAGCCCCGCAATATAGGGAGCCAGCACTGCTCCTGACCCCACCCCTTCTCTGAGACATCCCAGACGGTACAGCCCAGAGGGAGTGAGTCTGAGACAGGCCGGAAATGTCACTGAGCTCAGTGCCTTTGCTGTCCTGGGGGACAGAAAACCCCTAGTGGCTATGGCCCCAGGCTTGTCTGAGGCCCTGGCGTGACCTCCAGGACTGGGGACTGCCTCTGCACTAGCCCCTCTGTGCATCCACCTTGGGAACCGGATTCTAAATCTCTTCGCAGTGACTTCTGGGGAGAGGAGCTGGGGAGAGTCACTGAGCAGGTTAAGCAGAGGCCCTGCATTCAAACCTCCCTTTGCTCCCTGGTCCAGGGCCAGGTGCAGGTCAATGCCCGGACTCTGGGCAGGCCTGAGCAAGAACAGGCTCCCCACCCTGAGTCCAATTCCCTCCCAAGACGCTAGTTGTTCTGGTCCAGCCAGTTGGGGTTCCTCCCTGAAACTCTCCCACGCGGCTACGGCCTGCAGGGCCTTCTTCTGTTGAGCACAAAATAATAATAATAGTATTATCAGCTGGCCTCCCTGCACCCCACAAGAGAGGGGTTTTCGGACCCATTCGGCAAAGGAGGCAGCCGAAGTTCAGAGAAGGAGACACAATTGGTGCAGGTCACACAGCAGGAGGATGACAGAGGCAGGATTAAAATTCCAGATTTGATACTTTGTCCGCTGCCTCACTCCTCTATGAAAGACATTCCTTCCTTTATTATAAAAGACACCTCGAAGGCTCAGAGAGGTGAAGACACCTAACACAGGGTCACACAGCAAACCATAAGTGGGGCTCAGATTCCAAGGCCGGGCGGCAGAGAAGGGGGCCAGTGCCAAATGACCTTACCAGCAGCCATTCACTTTCTCTCTCAACACGATGCCAAGTGACCTCACCTATGACTGAGGTGCTAGTCACTGTTGGGAGTGGGGGTGCCCAACGGGGCCTGGGGAACAGATAACATCTTTACGAACACAGCCACTATTTTAACTGCCATAGGTAAATCTTATCTATGAGCTAAGAGAAGCAAAGCAAGAGTAAAGGTATAACTTTAACGGAACACAATATAATAAATACAATACGAGCAGTCCCTTACATTAAAGCCAGGACATGGGGACCCTTAGTCATTTCATGGTTTGCTCTTGTTTCTGTATTCAGACATGGTGACACAGTGGTCCTGAGCGCATCTCGTTCCATCCCGGTCACAGTGTGGCCCTGTGTGATGGTCGCAGTCTGTGTTGGTGGGTCGCAGAACACTATGATCTCACTGAGTGCCAGGCCAACCCCCGGCCAGCCAGCAGGGGCTGCCTTTCTCTCTCTTACTTGGAAAACTGGCCAGTTCCCTCACTGCACCCCTGGTCTTCTTTCTCTTCCCTTCTGGAGTCTTGTACTTATTTACAAAAAGGTCACAGAGACTGTTGTCCTGTTTCATTCATTCTTTTTTTTTTTTTCTTAATCCTCACCTAAGGACATGCTTATTGAGTTTAGAGAGAGGAGAAAGGAAGGAGAGAGAGAAGGAGAGAAATATGGATTGGTTGCCTCTCATATGTGCGCCAACTGGGGACTGAACCTACGTCCTACGCATGTGCCCTTGCCAGGAATCAAGTCTATGACCTTTCGGTTTACCGGATGACGTTCCAACCAACTGAGCCACACTGGCTAGGGCTCTCCTTTCTTTCTTTAATAATAATGTACGTTCATTCACTTGCGTAAGTATACAGCTTAATGATTCTTTACATATTTGTACACATGTGTAACTACCACCCAGACAGAGATTGTAAGGGCTTCTCACCATTGCTCCTTTGGGGCAACGCCCAGCCAAAGATAACCCCTACTGTGATTTCCCTCACCCCTGACTAGTTTTGCCTGGTCTAGAACTTCATATAAATGGAACTATAAAGTATGCTTTCTTTGTCTAAGGCTTCTTGAACTCAACACGAAGTTTTTGAGCTTCATCCATGTTGCTGAAGCCATTAGTTGGCTTTTTCATTGCTGTGTAGTATTCCACAGGCAATCCACTGTTTTTCCATTCACTTCTTTAAAAAAAAAAGATTTTACTTATTTATTTTTAGACAGAGGAGAAGGGAGGGAGACAGAAAGGGAGAGATACATCAATGTGCGGTTGCCTCTCATGCGCCCCCTACTGGGGACCTGCCCCACAACTCAGGCATGTGCCCTGACTGGGAATCGAACCAAAGACCCTTTGATTTTCAGGCTGGCACTCGATCCACTGAGGCACACCAGCTAGGGCTCCATTCACTTCTTGATGGACATTTGCATTATTTCCCAGACTGATCATTTTAGAAAGATCTGATCGTGTCCCCAGCTGACTGAGACACTCTCAAAGGTTGTCCACCTTTCTCAGAATTAATTCAAATCCCTTCTCAGGGCCTGTAGTGCCCTGGCCCCTGCCTGGTCTTCTGCCTCACTTTCCACTCTTTCCCCTCATTCTCTGAGCTCCAGGTCCACTGCTCTCCTCCGAGTTTGAGTGGTTCCTGCTACTTCCCATCTGTAGGTCTTTGCATCTGCTGCTCCCTCTGCTTTGTCATGCTCTCGGCTCCCACCCCAACCTGCTTCATAGGCTAAATCTTCCCTGTCTTTGAGACCATCACTTGAATGACCTCCAGGGAAGCTTCACAGACCGGTCTGCCCTTCCAGGCTCCACACTCCTTGTAGCTCCCCCCCACTTTTTCCTTCATTATGCTCGTTGTAAATAACAATTTGTGTGATTAGTTGATGAACATCTGTCTCCCCCATCAGACTGTGAGCTCTGTGAAGACAGGCCCTGGTTCTGTTTTAATCCGCAGGCCACCCAGACCAAAACCGCACACTGCAGGTACTCATGAAATATTTGGTGAGTGCCAAGCGTTGAATAGGCCCCTCTGGGAACCTCAGCACTGCCCCCCAAACACACAGACTTTCTCCTGAGAACTGCCAGG